ACAGACTATGTCCAATTCTAGACTTGAGGGCATTCAACAAGTTCCTGAAGGTGTTACCTTTTCACATGCTAAGCACAGCATATGTCCTTCAGACTGTTTCCAAAGGAGAGTGGCTCACGTCTGTTGACCTGAAGGATGCCTATTTCCACGTTCCCTTATGGGCCTCACCAAAGACGTCGTCTCCAACAAAAAATGTTACTCCTTCTAGCAGTGAATTGCTTTGCAACACACACAACCCTTTTAGAACCATGAATTAAAACGAGTCCATTGACACAACTGTGCGACAGCTGCAGTTTCAGAACCATATAAAGTGGCCTTTCTGTGTAGAGTCTGCATGTTCTCCCCGTGTCTGCGTGGGTTCTCTCCGGGTACTCCGGCTTCCTCCCACAGTCCAAAGACATGCTCTGGGGATTAGGTTAATTGGTAACTCTAAATTGCCCGTAGGTGTGTAAATGTGAGTGTGAATGGTTGTATGTCTCTGTGGAGGGCCCGACAGCGAGCGTCTGGTGGCTGGGCTTGCCGCGTAGCCCGGACGGGCACAGCCAGAAGGAGTGATGCGACACCCCAAGACTCTACTACCCATGGGCTCACCACCTGGGAGGGAAACCGATGGGGTCGGGTGCGCTGCTACAAGGGTGGCAGTGACAGTGACAGTGGGGGGTCTAGACGGAACAGACCTGGGCGGCAGATGTTGGCTCTGGGGACGTGGAACATAACCTCTCTGGGGGGGAAGGAGCCGGAGCTTGTGCAAGAGGTGGAGCGTACCTCTACGCACAGCCTCGGCTCTGGAACCACACTCCTGGATAGGGGATGTACTCTATTCTACTCCAGAGTGGCCCATGGTGTGAGGCACCAGGCGGGTGCGGGGATACTCATAAGTCCCCGGCTGAGTGCTGCTACATTGGAGTTTACCCCGGTGGACAACAGGGTGGCCTCCCTACACCTTCAGGTGGTGGGGGGGGGGAACTCTGACTGTTGTCTGTGCACCAAACAGCAGCTCAGATTATTCTGCCTTTTTGGAGACCCTGAATGGAGTCCTGCATGGGGCTCCAGTAGGGGACTCCATACTGGAGTCCTACTGGGGGACTTCAATGCGCCCGTGGGCGATGATGGAAACAACTGGAGAGGCGTGATTGGGAGGAATGGCCTCCCTGATCTGAACCTTTGTTATTGGACTTCTGTGCCAGTAACGGATTGTCCATAACAAACACCATGTTCGAACATGATCACCATCTGGTGGTGAGCTGGGTCAGAGGATGGGGGAAGACTTGGGACAGACCCGATAAACTCAACCGTGTAGTGAGGGTGAACTGGGAACATCTGGAGGAGGCCCCGGTCCAAAAGATTTTCAACTTACACCTTCGTCGGAGCTTCTCTCACATTCCTGTGGAGGTAGGGCGTACAGGGATTGGATGGCCCCAAGTAAGGACCCCCTCACCCCATACTCCTGCAGCACCTCCCACATTTTCTCTCTGGGGACCCGGTCATACGCCTTCGCCAGGTCCACAAATCCCATTTAGACTGGATGAGCATACTCCTAGGCCCAGGAACCAGAGTGGTGTATGTTCAAAACTTCCATTGCTGAAGCTCCGACAGTGAGTTGTGGCTTCAAGGTCTTGGGTGCATCAAGGGGCGGTAACCCCTCGAACCCCGTGGACACCGATGGTCAGGGAAGCTGTCCGACTGAAGAAGGAGGCCTTCCGGGTTATGATACCCGGTGGGACTCTGGAGGCAGTTGCAGCGTACCGACAAGGGCAGCAGCCCTCTGCCGTGATGGAGGCAAAGCAGCGAGTATGGGAGGAGTTCGGGGTAACTATGGAGAAGGACTTTGGGTCGGCACCAAAGTGCTTCTGGAAGACCATCCGGCACCTGGGGAGGGGGAAACAGGAAACCATCCAAGCTGTGTACAGTAAGGATGGGACCCTGTTGACCACGACTGAGGAGGTTATCGGGCGGTGGAAGGAAAATTTTAAGGAACTCCTGAATCCAACTACTACGCCCTCTTTGGTAGAGGCGAGCTGGAGGCGGAGGAGGGATCATTGTCAATTTGCCTGGTGGACGTCACTGAGGTAGTCAAACAACTCTGCAGTGGCAAAGCCCGGGGGATTTGATGAGATCCGTCCAGAGATCCTAAAAGCAATGGGTGTTGGGGGGCTGTCTTGGATGACATGCCTCTTCAACATTGCGTGGAAGTCTGGGACAGTGCCAAAAGAATGGCAGACCGGGGTGGTGGTACCCCTCTTCAAAAAGGGGGACCAGATAGTGTGTGCCAATTACATTACATTACAGGTAATTTTAGCTGCCGCTCTTATCCAAAGCGATTTACGTTGCATTTTTAACCCATGGCTTTTATATTTTTGCCTGGGGAGCAATTAGAGGTTAGGTGTCTTGCTCAGGGAATTACAGGGGCATCACACTCCTCAGCCTCCCTGGTAAAGTCTACCTCAAGTTGCTGGAAAGGAGGATTTGGCCGATAGTCAAACCAAGAGGAACAATGAGGTTTTCGTCCTTGTCGTGGAACGACGGACTAGCTCTTTACTCTTTCCAGGATCATGGAGGGGGCTTGGGAGTATGCTCATCCAGTCTACATGGGTTTTGTGGACCTGGCGTATGACCGGGTCCCCCGAGAGAAAATGTGGGAGGTGCTGCGGGAGTACGGGGTGAGGGGGTCCTTACTTGGGGCCATCCAATCCCTGTACGCCCAAAGCGAGAGCTGTGTTTGGGTGCTCGTCAGTAAGTCGAAGGCGTTTCCGGTGGGGGTTGGCCTTCGCCAGGGCTGCGCCTTGTCACCAATCTTGTTTGTGGTCTTCATGGACAGGATATAGAGGCGTAGTCGGGGGGAGGAGGGTCTACAGTTCGGGGGGTTGCGTTTTGCAGATGATGTGGTCCTGATGGCATCTTCTATCTGTGACCTACAACTTTCACTGGAGCGGTTCGCAGCCGATTGTGAAGCAGTCGAGGTGAGGATTAGCACCTCTAAATCTGAGGCCATGGTTCTCAGCAGGAAACCGATGGATTGCCTACTCCAGGTAGGGAATGTGTCCTTACACCAAGTGAAGGACTTCAAGTACTTCGGTGTCTTGTGAGGGGAGCGAGGGCTCACGAGTGACGGCTTAGCCGGAAGACAATACTTTAGATATAAAAACCTTTAAAACAATAGAAACTCACTGTGTCAGGGTTCTCAAATTCAAATTAGGTGCGGGCCAGATGCAGCCCACTTTGAGCAGTACGGTCGTAGTTTGAGACCCCTGGTGTAAGTGGTGTGGCTGCATTGCTGGACTGTGTTTCACACTAACGCCAGCGCACTCTACTACTCACTCTAGTGTTGGTGTTGGATGTGGATCCAGTCATTTTTCCCAAGTGAGATCAGAATGGCATGTAGCCAGATTTGGAGGCCTTGCTCACTCTTCACCCAGTAGAGTTTCCCTCACAGCTCAGTAACAGGGACTCTGTGTTGAAGTGCTGCACTTGAGTCAGGACTCACTGTGAACAACGCTGCTGATTCAGACCTGAAGACACATCATCAGGAGACAGACACAGTACAAACAATGTCAAGAATATAAGGGTCTGAATAAACTTACCCCCAGACCAGACCAACTTCTAACCACTATACAGAGTGTAAATCACAGGATCTCCTCTTCCAGCTCTGCACACATGTCCTGCTGTGTGTGTCTGTCCATGAAGAATGTAGGAATCCTGTTCAGTCCCAGTGGTGCTACCAGGTAGAAGCTCAGAGGTGGAGGTCAGTGACAGTTTAGGAACCTCCATCCTGCAGACAGATGTTCAACACTGCAGGCCGGAGTTACTGGGTCTCCAAGACTCGGCCATGATGAGACACTGTGAGGACAGGCTGAGGAACACTTGTTGGAAAGATATTCCACAGAATAAAGATGTGTATCATAAAGAGCCCACGTTTCCATACTGATTATTTTGTCTTGGGACACCGTGAAGACTAAAAAAGACAAAACAGTCTCTCATCACAGCAACACAATTAAGAGTATTTTGATGAGTTTAGACTTTAGCATGTTCGCTTGGTAGACCAGCAGTAGATTAACAGACGGGACAGAAAAGTTTGCGGTTATCACCCGCCATTCCTCGTGTTCCGTTTAAACATGAGGTTTCAGGTCATGTTACAAAACAAAAGCTTATCATGAGTAAAACATGTAAAGTAAAGCAAAACTATTTAGAATTTCACACAAAGTACTCAAATTTAAACTTTTTAACCAATTAAAATATTAAAATTATTATATATATAGATATACCTGATGTTTTTAATGTGAAGGGATTATGGGATTCGGTTGTAGTGGGTCTTAATCCTTATTCACAAATATATTTTCTACCTCTTTTGCTCCATATCAACTATCAGTTTAGTTCTTTACCGGCTGGATCACTACTCTGTGTAGTAAAGTGGGTCTCCTCTTTCCCCTGTGCCCCAGTAGACCCCTCCAGAGGGAGAGATTCTTCCTCTGTGGAGAGGTTTAGAGGTTTTCTTGTGTCTGGACCAGAAGTACTTCAATGCAGAAGATGATGATGATGATAATGATCCTGGCTTGTTTCTTGTTCTTTTGTCCTGTTATAAATGTTACATAAATTGTATATACATCTGTGCATCCAAAGCCTGAAATATCTTCCTCTTATGCAACTGAGCGTCATTGATCAGATGATCAATAGGGAACCAAACATGTATTATTTACTACAAAAATAGTTCTTTACCTTTAGTTTAAGTAAGATTACCTAAAAACGTTGGTAACGTTGCATGTGAGATAACATTATACATAATACAAACATGTTTTACAATTGAAATGGCTTCATATACTTGTTTATGTTATTTTTAAGATGAATGGCGTCAATAGGAGCCAATGGGCTTGCAGCTGAGCGGGTAGGCAGGTCAGAAAGGACATGGACACGGACACATTTTTGGTCTTTTTGTAGGATTTGTTGAATACAAGAAAATACACAATTCCACCAGCCACATCATTTAACAAACGAGTAAGAGGTCCTTTCAAGTTTCAGAGAATACTTTATTACACAAATGCCCAACAAACCACCATTAACACATCTGACACAGGATGGTTTTATGTTCATTAATTCCGTTGGCTTTTACAGTAGCAACAGCGAAACAAGATTTTACTCTAAACAGTGCTGGACCTCAGAGGGACATTAATTGATCACACACACAGCTCTAATCTCATATATATGGTTATTTATTTATTTATTTGAATAGTAAATTATGTACAATTGTATTGTAATGAGAAAGTCATAAGACGGGGACATGAGAGACGAAGACAGCTTGTGTTCCGGTTGGTGGGAGTGGAGCAGCGGAGTCACCACATGTAGGGGTCATCGTATCTGTGAGGGAACACAAGGAATGAAGGATGGGTAACTCCTCAATATCTAAATGGACTCGGTCCAGGTCACATAAATCCTGAAGGTCTTGACCTGGATCTCTGGTCTCTGCTGCTGTCGCCCCCAAACAGCAGTTCTGCAACCACATCCTCTTGAGTTGAACGCTTCCCATACCTGGGAAGAGGGGAAGAGAGGAAGAGGGGGGAGGAGAGCTTACTAGCCAAGCTAGCGGCACATTTGGTGCAGATATCCAGTTGACCAGAATGTGAAGCCAACTAACTTTCATGATCCCCGGACTTTTATCTACAGATCTTTCACTTCTCCAGTGAAAGATCTCAACATCCAGTCCAAAGATTATGTACCAATCTTTGGACTGGATGTCAGAATTTATGGTTCCAAGAGGAGGAATTCTAACAACTTTGGTGATAAATCTCAGACTATTCCTCCAGTAACACCCCAGTTCGTCTTGGACGAAACCCTTTTGCCAGCATCAGGTCAATATCAGAATGTTTCCAATACCTTCAGTTCCATCTTACAGGAGCAGAGTCCAAGATTTAACAGGGTAAATCATTATGTTTTCATCAGGGTATGCCATGAAACTAACAATTCTTTTTGTTTGCTTGGAAGGAGCTGTTAAGATCTACATAAGGAGCAGGTGATGGAGCAGGTGATGGAGCAGCTGGAGTCCACCACGTTGCACCTGTATGTTTCTACAGCAGCTTACAGAAAGACACGATCATTTGAGCCCCGATGCCATGTATTACAGGAGACACTGAAGGGAAGATTACTGGAGTTGACAAAAACAAGCTTTGTCAATGCACCTGTTTAACAAGCAGGAACAGGTTGTTGTTCTACACGGTAGCACAGCATGAGCTTGGCTAATGAGAATTTAACAGATAAAGGACAGCAGCCCTTTTCCCCACAACACAGGACTTGCTGTCTCAAACAGGAACCCAGAGACATTATTTTATATTTCAGCCTTCTCGTCTCTCTTTGTCCATTGTCTGTGTCCTCTGTACTGGTTTACCTACTTCCATTCAATCCTAATGGTTTCATTTGGCGGTGAGATTCCCTGCGAGAGCGTGTTATCGTTCTCATGATAAGGAAACCAAGAGAGCTGCAAATGTAAAAGCACACAGCCGTGAAGCACACGGTTTACTTCCTGTGGCGTGTGCGTGTGCGTGTCTTTGTGTCTCTGTCTGTGTGTGAAACAGCACTTTTCAACGCAAACCCCTGTAGCTCGGCCTGCAGTTCCTCTGATTTGCCATTAACCACCTGTTCCACCTCCCACCATGTCTGCGGCACCCAATATTATGCTTGGTTACACACACAGGGAGCTGTGTGAGACACTTGTCCTGTGGGAAAGATACCAAACAGCCGTGTCTGTCGCATGGTGCCACGCATTCGGATCCTAATGGCCCATCAGCACTCACACATCTCCGCGAGTCTTTTCTCCACCTGGGTGTCTTTCTTTCCATTTGGTGTATTCACATCAGCCAATGTTGATGTGCTTTCTCACTCTTTCTAAACTATTGTCAGTTGGACTCATGTTGCTCTCTCTAAAATAGTAATTGTGATTATCTTCATTCATTTATTTATCATTCAAATGAATAACCCCAGTTTGTGCTTCTCCTGTATTACAACAAAGCCATTCTAGTTTCCAACAAATGAATAGCTGGCCATCTTTGACCTGAAACTATGAAAAATAAACTTGTTGACATTTTCTTTGGAGTTAGTACCTTGTTTCAATTGCGTAGAAAAACGTGATCAACTTGTAGTTGTAATTGTTGCATGTTGAATGGGAGCTAAAGGAGTTGAAGCATTCGTGAAAGCTGAATCACAGTAAAGGTTTGAAGGGTCCAGAGTCAGTGGTCAGTCAATTGTAATGTTACTTAGCCCCTACTTGTCCAGACAGAATACACAGGACAGGTTCTCACTGCTCTGGTTTCCATGTGTTCAGTAAAGACGTTGTACCATTTATAGCATGCGTGATATAGTTATGACTACCTAGATCTATCAATTGTAGCTGGAGTCACAGGCTAAAGCTGAAAACCATCCCATTCCTCAGGACATTATTTGATACAGTCAAGCCTTCATATTGCCATTAGTTACCTCTATCAAATATCTGCTTCATTTGCAGCTCTTCAGTGAAATGTGAAAAGCTTCTGCCGAAACCAATTTCCTTTTTATGGTGATTATGAGTCTTTTTTAAACCAAGTATCCAAATATCAACGATCTATTTGGCATTCATGAGAAGGAACAGATCGATAAATATGGCATCTGACAAGGGACTTTATAGCTGATAGCAGACGGCCTCGGCTCAGACCCAGCTAACTGCTTATGGGACTCCTCCTTTCTTTTATTGCCCTGGTGCCGTTGGTTTGGAGGCCTGAGGTTGTGGAGCGAGACCAGTAATCTAATGTACAGAGCCGGCGTGCGCAGGTGAACGGGGAACGGGAGGGCGGGAGTTGCATCACACGTCAACAGAGCTTCAGGTTTTGAATATAATTCATTTAAGGTTTTATTTTTGTGCTTTCATGGCGCTTCTTCAGCGGTCCAAGAAACCCACCGGCCAATCACAGCCAATCAAATATGTGTATTCTGATGAGCTTCCTGAACCGGAGGAGAATCACACGTCAGTCACAAGTTCTTTCACTGACCGTTCTCCAAAAAGAGACGTGTGGACCAACAATGGTTCATTTTCCAACCAGTGTGACTCATATTCAGAGGCCGAGATGGTTGTTAAAAGGAGAAATGTAGAGACACTACAAGACAAAGCAAAACTCATTTTGCAAAAGCTTTGTGTCGTGTAATTTATTCTTAAAGCGGGGTTCTTTATTAGATATTGAATTATTTCAAATATTGTTATGATATTATTAAATAGAACTTTGTAATTGGATTTGACAGTCAGTCGTTGAATACAGACGTGAATAAAACTGCTCGCCTACTTTGAAATATATTGAACTAAATCATAGTGTACACTAGGGGAGACATTATTGTGAAATTCACTCTAAATGACCTCGTTGAATTTGAACTGAATACCCTGCTGCAATGACTTGAAGCAAACAAAATGAAATATCAGCTAAAGGAGCAAATGGGAAGAAGAAAGTTAGCGTAACTTATGAAAATGACTTCTTCATAAGAACCCCAGTTAACTTTAAAGAATTTAGATTTCCTCTCAACGTGTAGCTAATGGCGCTAATAGCCCAAGCGCTAACCAGTGGGGGCCATGCGCTAACCAGTGGGGGCCATGAGCTAACCAGCGGGGGCCATGAGCTAACCAGCGGGGGCCATGAGCTAACCAGCGGGAGCTATGTGCTAACCAGTGGGGGCCATGCGCTAACCAGTGGGGGCCATGCGCTAACCAGTGGGGGCCATGAGCTAACCAGTGGGGGCCATGCGCTAACCAGTGGGGGCCATGCGCTAACCAGTGGGGGCCATGCGCTAACCAGTGGGGGCCATGTGCTAACCAGCGGGGGCCATGAGCTAACCAGCGGGAGCTATGTGCTAACCAGTGGGGGCCATGAGCTAACCAGTGGGGGCCATGTGCTAACCAGTGGGGGCCATGCGCTAACCAGTGGGGGGTGCTCACATGCACCAACATCCCGGTGGCCCACTTTACTCATGTTTCAGTCCTTTTTTTAGAAAATACCTGTATTTGTCTGCCATTGATGTGGCTTTTGCTGTTTTTTATTACTGACGTGTGCATAGATGGCTAAAGCAAAAATGATTATTGAATGTAGTTATCTAAAATAGGCTACACTATCTTACTTTATTCAAGTCAAAGGATTTGGAATAATTTAGTCTTTGAAATGCATCGATTCATCAAAAATATTACAGTACATTGATGTAAGAAGGATATCAAAATGTAAATACCATTAAATAACAGTAAATAACAAGACTCACACTGATAAAGTCCCTGATCCAAACCAACCCGAGAGCAACACCGTATGATGTCGCTTAGTGTCCCGAACACAGAAATGCAGAAGCAGACGAATGGGTGTGTGTGCATACCGCTGCCGGGTGATCAGATTGATGTAGTGTCTCAAGGCGGTGTAGTACTTGGCCAGTTCCTCCGGGGGAGCGTCTTCCCCGGGGTTTTCAGGTTTGGGGGGGTAGGCGTCCGCCAGTGTTCCCAGACACACCAGCACACAGAGCACCAGGGCCACCAGCGCTGTCCATGGCTTCTGCATCACGGCCTTCTGCAGGAGGGCGGAGTAAGAACACTCTTTGACATTAAGGATCCAAAACTTTGAATGAGCTCAAGGGAAATTCTTTCGCATGAATGCATTGGTTATTTATTTATCTTTCTATTGATTGTGTTCGATTTAGCTCTCCAAATACGTATTTTTCGTTACATTTTGGGTCCAAATAAAACAGGTTGGGAAAAAGATTTCTTAAAAAGTTACTGACCAGAAAAGATATAGACGTTTGCATGAAGAGCAGAGAGCGAAGGCTGAGGGTGGATAATAAACATATTGGGTGGTTTGATAATAGTCTGATTCCATGTGTGTGTATCATGAAGCGGTCATAATATCTTATGAGCTTTAAAGCTGTTAATATTACTGTTGTTGTTGTTGACATTAATGTTATCATTATCAGTGAGGCTAAAACCCCATTGACGTATCTCCAAATAGAACACATGACACTGAATCAAAAAGGAAATGAAAGAATAATATCTTCCATATAACATCAAATGGAAAAATGCAACTCAACTTCAATTTCAACTTAGCTGCTAAACAAAACAGCCTAAAATAATTCAAAATAACTCTGTGATAGCTTTTGCTTCCCCTCAGCAATGATGAAACTGAATTTGTAGAAAAGAAATGAAGTGTATTTGATAAAAGCAAAGATTGCGACTCGGTGGCCATAAGAAATGCAGCTGCCGACAGGCGTTATATTACATTCATTATGAGCCTTCATGGTTGTAACGCACTCTGCTGCTAATTGTCATGGTTACCGGCCTGAGACATCACCTCTGCGCTGCTTTCTACTGCTGCACGTGTGCTGCTTTGAGTTCAAACAAGAGAAAAACAAGCAGACATGTCCACAGTAATGTGATGTCTCTATGAGCAGGAAGCCACTACGGAGATTTGATGAGATGAGCTGTCATGAATCTGTCATGTGGCGCCGGACGCGGTCTGGATTTGTTTGGCATCCCGTGGCGCTGAACGCGCTCCCAGCAGCACCTTGTGGGCCGATCTTACTTCCAAACACATTTGACACTGGAGTCAGTAGTCTGAAAGGGTGTCTCTCTTTGGTGTTTCCAAATGACAAACTGCGCATTAGATTTCGGGGCAAACAGCCATCATGTCGGCCGTACGGGTGGGAGCCTTTTGGCACGAGGACTCGACGCGTCGCTCTTCATGTCTCAAAGTTGAATGAAAAACGCATCAGCTAAACGAAACGTTCCCACAGAGCAAAGCGCTTCAGGATTCCTCACAACAGTTTAAATGTGTCGGCATATTGTTCAGTAGTCTACAATCCTTTGCATGACATCATTTGTGATACGTGAAAGCATGAAAACAGCCTTCTTCTTGTTGGAACACGGTGCGCATATCTCAGGTTATGAACATGTTAATGGGCTGCGTGAGAGAAAAGGACGTGTGCCGACTTACTTGGAGGAGACTTGGAGGTTACAGGTGGAAGAGTGGAAGAGGTCAAACTGTGACGTCGTGGGTCGGTTTCTTCTCTCTCCGAACCGTCTCTTGGTTTTCAACTCCGACAGAGGGCATTTATATAGTTTTGCGGCAGCGGAGGAGGGAGGGGTTACACCGTAGAGTGTGCGTCCTTTGTGCGTGCGGGTGTGTGAAGCCGAAGCGGGGGTGTAGAGGCAGCATGCGTCAGATGGTGATGATGATGATGGAGATATGATGCATCACGGTTAACAGGTGATGTCTTGGGCCACGACCAGTTGGAGAAAAAGAACAAAAGTAAATAGTTGATTTTCGTCTACTTCTTCTCATCAAATTATACAGTAAGATCCAAAATGTCTCCCACATATACCAGTTTGACCAGTAACCCCCCCAACAACAAAAGAGAATAAAGACAAATCTAAAATGGTTTTGAAGCAGGTCACCAATCCGACAGGCAGCTCTTCACTAATATAACAACACAGTCATAGTAATATTCTCCTTTCTATTATTTTTCTGAATGATTGTTCAACACTTGAAGGGAAATGGAAGTCGAGGTTCCATGGGAGCGTTTGGTGCCTCCTCCTTGTGGCTGAGCAGCCAGCTTTACCGCTGAGGAGAACAACATTTACATACGTTAGCGATGCTGGATGTGCTCCACCCACTAACACACACACACACACACACTCGCAAAATGTATCTAGCAGCTCTTCATCCTTCATTTGTCTTATTTTTTTATCCACTATTCACATGATAGCTCATTTGGGTTTCACTTCCTGCCGAACTAAAGAGAACTTTAGAAATGTATTTTGGTATTGGGGCTGGTGCTCCTTTGCAGGGTATACTTTACATTACATCACATGTCATTCAGCTGACGCTTTTATCCAAAGCGACTTCAGTGCATTCAACCATAAGGACACAAACTCAGAAGAGCAAGAAACAAGAAAGTGCAATTTCATCAAATAAGCCAATTTACAATTTGCTATAGATGAGAACCATTATAAGTCCAATGTAAGTGCTACAGTTAGTTAGTGTGTTAGTGGAGGTAGAGTCTGAAGAGGTGAAGGTTTGATATGTTTCCTCCTGTCAGCTTTGGAGATGCTGCTGCTCCAGAAGACCCCTCCAAAGAAGATGGCTGGTGTCCAAGAAGGCATTGGTGAGAACTACGAATGACCTTCTACTTGCACACAGTTAGACATGTACGTTGTGTCTGTGGAGTCACGTCCCAAATCTACCCGTGTGCAACTGCTGTCGTGGCAATACTTCCCCCCCGAGGCACTGCAACTCTCTCCTGTCCCTCTGTGTGGTCCACATGTTCAAATGACACCCTCCAATAACTAGTCTATGGTTTACATCTTAAATACTTCAACAAATGCCAAACTAAATCATAGATACACATCAATGTGTTTACATTTTAGGGTGTGCACACATGCCAACACACGTAATCTGGTTGCATCCATCTCTGTTTACCTTACATATGCTTGCTTTGGGCAATATCATCAGGGGAAAAGACAATAGACTTTAACTGTAATGCAGTTCATAGCCATCATTTCAATCCATCAAGCCAGATGAAACCTACCAGTTGACCGAGGTCCAAGCATCAAAACCTGGAAGACGTGAGATTTCCTGGTATTAATTGATATGAATTAATTAATAATTAATGAAATCCTCCACCTTAACAACAAGGCTCCAAATGGTCAGGCTGCCTCTTCTTCAAGAGCTCGACGTGCTTATGGTTCATAGTCTCCTACAGAAGAATGAGCAAGAACAAGCTCCAGTCCACAAGTCCAGGAGACAGACACCTTCTTCATATTTAAGACTTTTCTCTAACAGAGTGCAGCTCAGCTGGGCTTGTCTTGGACTTGTCTCGGACTAGACCTGGTTGTGGTGCTGTGGGCTTCGACTGCGGGCTGACTTCATGAGCTCCTCCCTCCTCCTTTCCATCTGCATGCAAGGCCAACTTTCCATGGAGCTTCACGACGTCCCACTGTCACATTTTCAGTGTTAAAGGCTCTTTAAGGTACTTTGACCACATTAGCTTACTTTGCGGAGGTGGCAGGAGAGGCCGTCTCGCTCAGACCCCCTCCAGAGGACATCAGTCACACAGCTATGAGCGGGCATCGGGATTGGGCCAAAGACATGGTGTGAATGTCAGCCATGTTTGTAGTCTTACATGTGACCTTTTTGAGCTACCGCACCGTGATCATTTTTATTCTATCATTAATAATCAGTCCATAGATTATCTTTGATATTTGCATCTCCTCATTGTCAACAGAGGCGAGAGATGCACTCGTTTCACATCACACAGGCTTTAAGAACCACGGGGCAGTCTGGTTTGTCTTGTTTGGCAACGTGAGGTTATGTGGTTGGTCTAACACGTTAATAACAACTCATGATATCTCGTAGAAACATTGATACACGCTGAATGAATACGGACTTTGGGAGTAACGTAAAGCTTTGGTCATTAAAGCAAAGCACACAGAAGGTAAATTTAACCCTTAAGACGTAAGACATAAAACAAAACCATTCTAATACCAGCAGAGACAAAATACATATCCACACATATCCGCTCCAAAGCCTGAAATGCAATCGCTGGAATGCAATTATTCAGCTGGATTATGATTAAGTTTGAGCGAAGACAATTTGCTCACTGTGATACAGAACCCATTGGAATATACATATAAAAGTGTCATTTCCCCTTTAATTGTTAGTGAGCCAGATCAGAGTGAAAGGTTTAACGTAACAATTTAAATTTTAAGATTGTATTAAATATCTCAATAAAGATTGTATTAAATATCTCAATAAAGATTGTATTAAATACCTCTTCTCTCTTTCTTTCTCGTTCTCTGAGATGAACATCAGACTTTTTTATCTTACTCTGACAAAATGAAGCTACAATCCTTTTCTTCTCTTGTTGTTTGTTTTCTGTTTGTTTGTCATTTGTAGTGATGTTGCTTTGCAGACGGTCTCGTCTCGCAAGACCAGCTGCTGGACCGGCCTGTATTTGTAAAATGATGGTTAATTATGGTTGTAGCTGGTCGTCTGCATCACTATGGTTACGGATAGCTGTCGTTTGTGTTGAGACAACGTTTTTCTGACAAGATATTGAACCGGGAGTCCAAATCTGTGAATATCTTAAGAGCTTTTCCGTCTCAGACGCCATCGCACGGATGCTGCGCTGCTTCAGTTGTTAAGCTGTCACTCATGACACCACGCCCCTCTCCGCTGATGCCCCGCCCCCTAGGCCAGATCAAACAATCCGAAAGTGGAACAAATATTTGAAACTTGAAAATATAAGATCTGCAACTGAAAAGTATGATACCGCAAATATAAATATATAAATAAAACTATATTAAACCCTAAAATACACTTTTGGGCCGGGATTTGGCTCCATATTCATCCACCGTAATAATCTTTCATTACTCTCGGAAACTCAATTAAAGCTGCGCAACAACGTCCAAGAGGAGCACTCAACCACGGTGTATTCGCTGAGCAAAGACAGGAGTCCACTGCCGTACTGTGTCTTTGTCCTTGTGTGTCTGTAACTAATGTGCAGTGGCTGTTTAGAGAAGCCAGAACACCATAGTTCCTTTCACATATACCTCTCTGTGTGATAAGGCTTTGCTTAAAGGGGAATTGCTGACTAAGGCGTGTGTGTGTTCATGTGTGTCTCTGGGAGCCACGTTTAAGATGAATTAAACAGCTAATCGGTCAAACCGTGTAGGATGATTGATTCCAATGAGTCGATGGTGGTTAACCCGATACGGTGCACATTGTCTTCTGCTGCCGGTGGGGGACGTTACTTTTCAGCGGACTAGTGTGGCTGTTATTTAAGAGCAGAGGATGAGTCACACAGTCCGTAGAGGGTGTGGATGCAGATTAAAGGTGGCAGCTGTTTCTTCATCTCTCTCAGCCCGGGTCTGTCTGTCTGTCTGCGTGTCTGTCTGTCTTCTGTCTGTTTGTCTGCATCTGTCTGTCTGTCTGTCTGCATCTGTCTGTCTGTCTGTCTGTCTGTCTGTGTCTGTCTGTCTGTCGTCTGTCTGTGTCTGTCTGTCTGCATCTGTCTGTCTGTCTGCATCTGTCTGTTTGTCTGCATCTGTCTGTCTGCATCTGTCTGCATCTGTCTGTCTGTCTCTCTGTCTGTCTGTCGTCTCTCTGTCTGTCTGTCTGTCTGTCTGTCTGTCTGTAAATGGTAATGGTAAATGGACTGTACTTGTATAGCGCTTTTCTAGTCTTCAGACGACTCAAAGCGCTTCAACACTACATGACATCATTCACCCATTCACACCCATTCATACACTGATGACAGGAGAACCATACACAGTGACACCTGCCATCAGTCACTAACATTCACACACCGTAGTCGCAGCTACAGGAGCAATGATGGGTTAAGTGTCTTGCCCAAGGACACATCAACATGCAGGTTAGCCAGGACTGGGATCGAACCGACAACCCTCTGATTGGAGGACGACTGTGCTCCCCACTCACCCACAGTCTGTCTGTCTGTCTGTCGTCTGTCTGTCTGCATCTGTCTGTCTGTCTGCATCTGTCTGTCTGTGTCTGTCTGTCTGCGTGTCTGTCTGTCTTCTGTCTGTTTGTCTGCATCTGTCTGTCTGTGTCTGTCTGTCTGTCTGTCTGCATCTGTATGTCTGTCTGCATCTGTCTGTCTGTCTGTCTGTCTGCTTGTCTGTCTGTCTGTCTTCGTGTCTGTCTGTCTGCATCTGTCTGTCTGTCTGCCGTCTGTCTGTCTGCATCTGTCTGTCTGTCTGTCTCCGTGTCTGTCTGTCTGCATCTGTCTGTCTGTCGTCTGTCTGTCGTCTGTCTGTCTGTCTGTCTGTCTGTCTGTCTGTCTGTCGTCTGTCTGTCTGTCTGTCTGTCTGTCTGTCTGCATCTGTCTGTCTGTCTGTCTGTCTGTATCTGTCTGTCTGCATCTGTCTGTCTGTCTTTTGGGGCACCTGTTGTAGAGCAGCCTGAAGCCCTGACGCATGTGGACACACAGACACACACACAGACACACACACAGACACACACACAGACAGACACACACACACACACACACACACACACACACACACACAGACACACAGACACACACAGACACACACACAC